AAAAACTCAGGGCTGAACTTGAGGGGACGATAAACAGTGACAATTATTGTGGGGGTCGGGCCGGAGAGTTGACAGGCGAGGCATTCCAGAGTGGTGAGAGGAGGAAGGCTTACGGGAAGGACCTTCCAAGTCTCGCGATAGAGTATCGCAAGACCACCACCACGGCCTGACCCACGTGGTTTGGAGATGTAAACAAATCCGGGAGGAGTACAGTCATTGAGTTGTGAGAAATCACCGGGTTGTTGCCAAGATTTGTTCAAACAAAGAAAGTCTAGCTTATGGTCATTGATGGTATCTTGGAGGAGATGTCATTTACCAGAGAGGGAGCGAATGTTGAGAAGACCAAAATTAGCAGTGTGGAAGTCCCTGGCGACAGGAGCATTAGCCCAACTAGCCAGCTGGGCCAACACGCTGGAGTTGACAGCTCGGCAGGTATTCCTGGGTAGCCGCCGGTGAATCATGGACCAGAAGGAGGGTATTCCTTTGGCGCCGTCGAGATGGAGGTTCCGCCGGGACCCCCGATGGATATACTGACGGCAAGGCTGAAAGGTAATGCCAGGGAAGAGGCACAGAGCTGGTGGTGGAGATCCAGAGTAGTGAAAGCGGAGGTTGAAGAGCTCCGCCGCAGAGTACTGGAGAAGGCCATCCACGGACAGAAGAATGAGCGACAGGATGATCCAGGCCAGTGAGAGGCACAGAGAAATCCTGCTGGACCACATTATGGAGTGGAGCAGGGAGGTGGTGACGTGGAACCAGAACGCAAGCTGAGCATGGAGGTGAAAATTAGTTTTCACTGACGCAGGGATATGGCAATCAGGTTGAGGACCGTAAGCGGGAGGAAAATAGTAATAAAATCTAAATGAGAGGGCTGCACAGATGACTCGGGTGAAAAAAGAAGTAAAAACACAAAAAGTTTGCCGGCGAGCAGCGGCAGCCAGACGCGCCAGCGTTCACTCAACCGGAAGTTCCATGAATGGTTTGATCCCAAACAAACCACCAGCTGACTGACTGGTTTAAATCTCTGGACTCCTCAATTACCAAATTCCTTTGGCAGGATAAACCTCCACAAATTAGCTTAAAAACGCTTCAGAAGACCAAAGCCAGAGGAGGACTGGATTTACCCAACTTTTATTATTATTTCTTAGCCAACAGGCTGCAATATATACCAAGATGGTTACCAAGATACCAAGATACCCATTAGATGAGTCTTGGTTAGACATAGAACAGACACTTTGCAATACTATAGAGCTTTCAGACTTACCATTTATTAGCTCAAGCATAAGAAAACAGGAAGGCCTCAAAAGTATTAGTATCAGCACCTCTCTGACAGCATGGTGGGAGTATCTAAAAATGTCAGCATCTTCACTAATACCATGCAGACACACACCCATTTGGAATAATCCTGATATTTTGCAAAATAACCAAATGATGAACTTTCTGGACTGGAAAAATAAAGGGATCCCATACCTGGAACACACATATGAAGGATTGGACTTCATCCCATTTAATCGACTACAGCAGCAAATTATCTGTCACCTTTGACCTTTAGCCTGGTGCTGCACAACCAGTAGGCTTTGATCACTGGACCTCAGGGACCTGCTGGGGGTGTAGGGACTAAGGAGATCACCAATGTAAGATGGTGCTTGTCCATGTAAGGCCCTATAGACCAGAACCAGGATCTTGAAATGAACCCTGAAGTTGACTGGCAGCCAGTGAAGCTGGAGGAGAAGCGGGGTGATGTGGGTGTGTTTGGAGGACTTGGTCAGAAGCCGAGCACAGGCATTCTGAACCACCTGTCGATGGTTCAGGGAGGTTCTGCTCAGACACGTGAAAAGAGAGTTACAGTAGTCTAAGCGTGAGGAGATGAAGGTGTGGATAACTGTCTCAAGTTCAGAGCGAGACAGAATGGGACTCAGCTTAGCAACGTTCCTGAGATGGAAGAAGGAAGAGCGAACAAGAGAACTGACATGAGAATCCAGGGTGAGAGCTGGGTCAAAGGTCACGCCAAGATTCCTGACAGAAGGTTTGGTGTGGGACGCAAGTTGACCAAGAGAGTCTCTGACATTGGGAACCAGCTTGTCTGGGGCACAGATGAGGATCTCCGTCTTATCTTCATTCAGCTGAAGAAAGCTCCCAGCCATCCAGGTTTTGATAGTCTAAGCACTACTGGCGGTTGTGAGTGGGGCCCCTTGGGGGAGGACCCAACCTTACCTGGATGTCCTATGTCTTATACAGTCTGAAAGTTGTGCAAATGCAGGGATGGGCGTAGATATTGTGCTGGGATGAGGCTGGGCTGGTGCCCTCGGACTCCGTGAGGCTCTGCAATGCTGCTACTTTGGGCCCTGGCAAGATGGGCTGGGGTTTCCATGCCCTGGGTGGCATTTTGGCAACAGATGTGCCTATTGGGGCCAGTGGGGGAGCTGGCTCTCTGGAGGGCTAAGCCCAACCAGCCATTCCTCCCCATCCCTGCATGTTTTTCTCCTCCTGCTCCCTCACATCATCACACAAACATGCACATAGGACCTTGGGGGGTAGACAAGTCAGGGAGTGTGGGTATGGACCCCATTTCCGCATTCCTGTGGCAGCTTGCCCCCCAATTTTATTTGCACCTTTAACACTTCCCCCAACGACATTCCACGCAAACACACACTTAGGGCCTTGGGAGTGAGCAGATTAGACGGCAGTTGGCAGGGGGATTTCTCAGCCTCATCCCGAGTGCCGGTGCCCACTTCCAATTTTAAACTGCTCTTAGACACTAAGGGCTGTGGGTGCAAGTGGGGTGGTGCGGTGGCATCAGCTGGCATAGGCCAGACGATGCCCGCACTACCCGCTCACCACAGCCATGGAATACACCTCTTCAACACACACTAACACTACATTGGAGCAGGCGGAGGGAGACTAGGGGTCTTAGCACACCTCTGTTGTTGCTTGGCTTCCTGGGGCTGGAGGCTAGGAGGGAGATCTGGCCGTCTAGTTGGGGTCTGGGGTGGTGGGTTGCTGTGCTCAGCTTTGGGCAGGGGAGCCTGCTCATCAGCACCCCAGCAGAAAGGGTCAAACTCTGGTAACCGGTAATGGTTGTACCGAATGTGCAGCAGTACCGGGACCAGAGTGAATAGGGTGTGTATGGGGAGCATGAGTGGGTGTCCGGCATGCATTTTTGTAAGTCTTTGGTTGTACGTGTATGTGTGAGCATGAGGGAGGGAGTGCATGACTGTGTTTGTGTATGACTGTATATATCAGGTGGGGCCTTTGACTCCTCCCTTCTCCTGGGACTTCTTTTGATGATATAGTTCCTTGTCTCTCCTCCCCCTGCCACACCTGGTGTGGAGTGTGGTGCCTTGGTCTGCCTGAATGTTCGTGGCTCCCGGGTCAGGGAATTTAAGATTTTTGGCATCTGACTGATCAATCCCGGTGGCTGTCTGGTGGGGTCTGGGTCCCTGGGCTCTGCTGGGTCCCCGGCAGGGGTGGTCACCCCTGGGTCCCGGGTCGCTGGGTCCCAGGCTTGGCCGGCTAGGGGTTGGGAGGCTGCAGGCGGGCCTGTGGGCTTGCCGCTGATGTCTCCCGGGACTCTGCCGGCTGCTGGTTGTGGCCCCACAGGGCGATCCTCTGTGCCTCTCGAGGGGGGCAGGGGCCTTTCTGGTTGAAGTCTCCTTGGGGTTCCTGTGTTCTGGGGCAGCGCCTGGGTCTCTGGGACTTGGAGCTCCCTCCGTCTCCTACACATTTTTGGGGGGCAGATCTGTGGTCCCTCACACTCTCTATTGGACGCTTTTATAGAGAAACCTTACATATACAAGCGCGTGTACACACACAGGTGCTCACATGGTGCTCTCATAAGTATGGGCTTGGGCACGTTCAACACATGTCTTAAGGCTGTCGTTGCCACTAAATGCACTGTGATTTATTATCATGTGATTGTTCAGTTAAACAATGCTGACTGTATATTTCACCATCAGGTTGACTCGGTGACAGCTTGCTCCTTTTGTTGTGTGTCCCTTTTTTCTCTTCTTTCTCTTTCAGTAGATCTAGAAGCAGACTCTTGTTCATTATTGTTTATTTTTGTGGAAACCCCCCCCCCCCCCCAACCTCTCCCCATCTTTTGTATCTTCCTTTCTCTTTCACCTCTGTCTCCGTGTCTAGTCGGAATTACAAAGCATTCAAAACAATAACAATAAAGTTTTAAGTATCAGGGGTGACATTAAAAGCAGATGCTTTGATGCTCCACCTGAGAGTAAATCTGTAAGAAAAAAAATATTTATGTGTTCCTCTGAGGATCATTTATGCCCCCCCCCCACCACACACACACACACACACACACACACACACACACACACACACACACACACACACACACACACACACACACACACACACACACACACACACACACACACACACACACACACACACACACACACACACAGTGTTGTTTATCATTGTTCATTTAATGGTTAAATAAAAGTTGGTTTTGTGGAAAAACAAATGTTACTTGTTGTCTTTATCCTACCATTTATCTATGTGGGTTTGTTTTGACCCGAAATACCAAAAATGTCACTATTGTTAATCATTTTAAATAGTGAAAAAAAAGGATAATTTTTTTTGGGTAGGTGTACTCTAATATTAGTTTATAACACATTTATAGTTTATTATTACTCATTCTATAAGAAAAAGAAATATATTTAGTGAATTTAAACAGTTTTTGCAGTCAAAAACAAGTGTTATATTTTAAAATACTGTGTCTGTGGAACCAACTAAAAAACAATTCACACACTGGTTCCATTTATATGACTAAGCCAGCAATTAGCTGAAAAACAACAGTTGAAGAAAACCGGTGATTTTAAGCCTTTTCAAGCATTTTTAAATCATGGGTCCAAATGGACTCGCTAACACCACAGGTGTAAACGGCTTTCTAACACAATACAAGGGTTCAATGATCTAGTTCATGTTTCTGTTTTAACCTGCATCCTGTTGGCTTCAGCTCTCTGCTTTTATTCTTTATTCAGGTTGAAGAGCTGCAGCTTGTCAGAGATCAGCTTTTCTTCTCTGGGCTCAGCTCTGATGTCCAACCCGTCCCATCTGACAGAACTGGACCTGAGTCACAACCACCTGTGTGGTTCTGTAGTGAAGGATCTCTGTGGTTTCCTGGAGAGTCCAGACTGTAGACTGGAGGTTCTGAGGTCAGTTCTCTGCAGCTGTTGAAGGTTTTCCTGTGTTTAACAAACTAAAATCATTCACTGATGCTTCAGAATTTATTTATTTACAAAAAACTTTTTTACTCCAAACTTTCAATCTGAACTTTCATTTTTTTGGAACTTTTCAGTTTTTCCAAAAGTAAAAAATAAAAGCTTTTAGAAGAAAAACAAGTTTCTGTTCACCTACTGATAAAGGTTCAGTGAGGAATGGAAGTCTCTGAAGTCTTAATTGTACCTAATGGAGTCAGACATGGTGGAGTCTGTCTCCTGAACCTTGATGATGTGTCTGA